GCAACAGTGAGTTAACTAACTTGTGGTTTAGTAAAAATTCCATTCTGTGCAGTGTTAACCTTTTTCTTGTGTTTTACAGGATTTACAGGACGAACAGAAATCCAGAAACTGAACAAAGTTTCATTATTCTTGGTAGAGCGACTCACACTCTACTTTGTGTAAAATAACGGGGCCTGCATATGCAATTAATAAATATATTTAATATATGTTCAACATTTAATACGGACGTGACAGTAATAAAATGGGTTTAAAGCAATAAAGTTCCATCAGTGGGTCGGTGAGTCCATGGGAACAGCTTCGTAAGTTGCCCTCTGGAACAACTTCTCTTTACCATGTGTGATAATAACAGCCGTTAACAAGCCGTTTAGTGCACAATGAGAGCCCCAACAGCCTGTTGAGGCAACAATACCAGGTCTGACTGGTCGCAGCTAACATATAACAGACACGACAGCCGTGTCTAAATTCCAGGCAGCCCTTCAGGCCTCCTACCAAGAGACAGGTTCCTTCGTTTCACTTCCTCTCCAACTGTCCCTCGCTTCTTCCCTTCACCTGGGTCCTGTGTGGGCCAGTGAGCCGCCAACAGCAATAGCCTGGTTGATTAGTAAAGCACCAAACAAGCCTGGCCCAGGGCCAACCTGCGAGAGAAGGAAAACTCTCAAACCCATCACCTGAGATCAGCCCTCAGCCCCTCCCCTCACCTGGGATTTGCATTCACCCATTACCCTTCATCCCTCACCCTTCCTTTCACTCACTACCCCTCACCCTCAATTATCCACCAATTCCCTTCACCTGGGGGGTCTGTTCTTATCCCTTACCACTCTTCCTCCATTTCTCACTCCTTCATTCAACCCCTTGCTTGTAGATCTATATATGTATACGCTTATTTGCGTACGTTATAATTATCGATTCTTTCACTGCATTACACCAGTAGCCATGAGTAAAGGTGATTTGTGCTATGGGGGAAAGTGATATCTGAATGTTGAAGTCATGGGTGGAGGTGATATCTGAATGTTGAAGTCATGGGTGGAGGTGATATCTGAATGTTGAAGTCATGGGTGGAGGTGATATCTGAATGTTGAAGTCATGGGTGGAGGTGATATCTGAATGTTGAAGTCATGTGTGGAGGTGATATCTGAATGTTGAAGTCATGTGTGGAGGTGATATCTGAATGTTGAAGTCATGGGTGGAGGTGATATCTGAATGTTGAAGTCATGGGTGGAGGTGATATCTGAATGTTGAAGTCATCATGGGTGGAGGTGATATCAGTAGAAAATCAGTTATTCCGGCTAAAATGTACTGCTTAATATATAGTTATTATATTCTAGGAGAAGCACTAAGACAGAAGGGGTCATGGAGTTCCTAGAGACTGGAAGTTAATTAGATTTGATCCAAGGCAGGGTGGCTCCAGTACCTTGGACCAAAAGCTCTTCACCAGTATCGGTGCACTAAGATGGGTGCCACTGCCCACTAGACTCTCCCTTCCAGTCAATGTCTTAAAAATTATGATTCTCCCTTTGGACGCTGGAGTCTGTTTATTGGTACTTTACTTTTCTAAAAGGGTGCCTTGATGCTGGAGGGTTCTTGATCCCAGGAATTGAAGCTACTCACGTATTTCTCTAATGAAACCTGATTACTCACAATTCCCCAGGCGCTGTATGAGCCCTACGGGTCTGGCGCACTCAGCTCACACACTGAGGTCCGGAGTTCGAATCTCCTCCGGTACGGCTGGAAAACATTAGAGACGTGTTTCCATAAGACACCTGTTGTCCCTGTTCACCCATCAGTAAAATGGGTACCTGGGTGTTAGTCGACCGGTGTGGGTTGCATCCTGGGACAAAACTGACTTAATTTGCCCGAAATGCTCTACATAACAAGGGGCTTTCTATATAGTAGTATGTCATTAATGTCAGCTAGGCCTGTATACCTTGTACATGTACTTGTAATAAATATATTATTATTATTATTATTATTATTATTATTATTATTATTATTATTATTATTATTATTATATAAAAATGAATGGTACATCATAAGTACAGTGAACTTGTTGAGTTCTTGGTTCCTGATCACCTAGGTTGTGGTATATATGTTAGGTTATGTATATCTGGTACCAACAGTCTGGTCGATGAAGCCAGCAGACCTTGAGGCCTGGTCCGGGACTCGGCCCCAGGGGCGGTGACCTGCCTGGAGTCTACCTGAAGGGTATTCCAGGGATCAACACTCCGCGGCCCGGTCCACGACCAGGCCTCCAGGGGGATCAGGGTCTGATCAACCAGGTTGTTACTGCTGGCCGCATGTAGTCCAATGTACGAACCACAGCCCGGCTGATCCTGTACCGACTATAAGCATCTGTTCAGCTCCCTCTTGAAGGCAGCCAGGGGTCTATTGGTGATCCCCTTTATGCATAGTGGGAGGCTGTTGAACAGTCATGGGACCTGGACACTTACTGTGTTTTCTCTTAGTGTACCAATGGCGCCCCTACTAGACCCTTGAAATCGACTCCGGATAAACAGTATTTGAAATATATTTTACGAATGCTCTATCTTAAAATATGTCTGCGCGGGTTTCTTTCATCTTGCATAAGTCACCTGCGCCGAGTTAATTTTCCACTATTACCTGTTGCAATTTTTTTTATTATTGCCATAAATTGCGGTGTGAGTGTCGCAGGTTGTCGCTGCAAAGGCGCAAGTGACCAATCGATTTTGTGCATGGTGAAGGAGAGAGCGTTCTTGGCTGTAAACTCGTTCTGGCGAGCAATATTTTAGTGGCTGCGTGGCGGTGGCTGGTACAACACGTTAGTAGTACTGACCATCTTGGCCGGTGATAAGATGGAACCAGGCTGCCAGAGTAATTTTTTTTGTCCTGCTGTTAGTGGACGGAGGATCAGGCCTATACGACATCTAGCGCAGAAAGATCTACGCGGGTTTAGAGCTTCACATAACTAGAATATAATAACATCCTTAGTCTGTGAGCACAATACTTGTGGTAGTGTGTACGGGGTCATGCATCGCCTGGGGGATTTGAGGCTATGAGGCTCGATCCAAGGAAGATGAGGATAGTCAGAGTTCTAAGATCAAGAACCACTCACCGGCATCAAGGAACCCCTTCCTCTGATAGTTTAACCACATCTCTCAGTTACTGGCGTATATTGTCCCATTTAAAGTACGAGTCCCTTCAAGGAAGGTGTCTTCATGCTGGTAATAGGCTCTTGATCCAAGGTATTCGAGGCATCCTTCCCTGTCTTGGAGCATAATTAAATGGCTCCAATTCACCGGGCGTTGTATTACTTCTAGTGACTCAGAATTTCCAAATGAGAAAACCATTAATGATAATGATATAAATACAATATGTGATGTATAAATGTGGATTGTTTAAGGTCTTTATTGTATAGGCAGAGTGTTGATGGGTAGTGTATCACATACTGCTTTAGCGCTTCACGTGAATACCATAACAGGTGGCGCTGCTATCCATGAAGCCCGAGGGTTAGTAGATTCTTCTCTGTGAACAATGAAGAACTTTTAGAGAGCTGATAACATGAAGAGGTGAGTAAGTGGTGGTAATGATGGTGGTGGTTGTGGTGGTGGTGCTGACGGTGGTGGTGGTGGTGATGGTGGTGGTGGTGCTGACGGTGGTGGTGATGGTGGTGGTTGTGGTGGTGGTGAGGGCAGTGGACGCGGCTGTGGTGGTGGAAAAGATAGCTGAGATGGTGGGATTAGTGGTGGTAGTATCCGTAGGTCAGGTGGTGGTGGTGGTGGTGATTGCGGTGGTGGTTGCATGCAGGGGGGCGTGGTTTATGGCAGGCCAGCCCGCCAGAGTAATACACTAAACAAATTATAGTTTGTCCTGGTCAGACGTACTCCCATCCTCTAATTGATTGCTGACGAATTGTTCCCAGATTGAAAACCCCCTGGAAAGTATGAGGACCCACACACAGGTATTTGTCACTGAGGAAAAACGATGGTTAGCTCCATTTAATTTATGGCCCACTTATTTATTCATTGTGTTGTTACTGGTGAATTACTATGTTACCCCAAAGTATATTATTCTTATACAGTCACTTTTGTTATCTCATTCAGGAGTGTCCAAACCCCACAAATATATATATATATATATATATATATATATATATATATATATATATATATATATATATATATATATATATATATATATATATATATATATATGCAGTTTTACTTTATTTCATAAGGATTATTATTAGTGAATAAAATGCTTTACATTTTATGTAAACAAATGCTAAATTCCCACTCAGTCTTTTGTGCTTCTGATCACTCTGCTTTTCACTCTTTCCACTCTACTTTACCTTCATATATAAAATAAAGCTTTACTAACCATATTGGGTACATACAACCTTCACCTTACTATTACTTTTGAGGACATCTATTTTTTTTCTTTAAGAATAATAATCGCAATGCCGTGAATGGATCAATTCACAAATATCCCACATATTGATAGTGCACTCGAGACAGCTCTTCTGTCCGACCGGGATCCTAATTCGGATCAGGAAGTCGTCTAGTTTCCACTTCTAATTCTCGGGTTAGTTGTGATACTCTGGTGAAGGTTGTCTGTATGCAACACGCCAGGTCTTTTCATGCAGCTGAGTAAATCTTGGTTATTCTCTCATATTTTTTCCTGTCTATTCCTTGATGACAAAAACACAAGTTACAGGTTAATTTTTTATTGAGATAACGTTTCTCTCTGTATAAACCTTTTATAACGACTTCTTAAAGTTCTACACAGAAAGAAACGTTTTCCAAATAAAAGTTTGCGCTGCAGCTTGTCTTTGTTTTCACAGTTCATTCTATGTACTCCAACTTTTATCGTCTATCTAAGCTTGTTTACTTGGTGTTGATGTTTAGCTCCGTTCCCTGGCACCGTCAACACACCTCACTTCCTACTCTGGTAGCCACCGCACTGGTTCCCTTCCCTACTAACCCTGATGGTATGTTTATCGTGTACTGTTTTGTGCTCACCTCCAGCTCCAGGCCCGGCCGTCCGCCTAAGAGAGCTTCCGACTTCATGACCATGGCTCCCACCCAAGACACTCTCTTCGACCTCAAGAAGCGACACATGGAGAACACTGGATTCCCCAATGGACACTTACCTGGTAAGAACCTTCTGTTCTTTATGCTTCCAGGAATCATCGCCCCCGTGGCCCGGTCTCAGACCAAGCCTTCTTAAGAATTTTGTAAAATAAATATTCCAGGAACAAACCCTTCATGGTGGGTGCCTCGATGTTGGCGATCCATATTACCTCCCATTTTCCAGGTGTTCTATGACCTCTACGCGTTTAGCGCTTCCTAATGTAATAACACAGATATTAGCTTATATGAAGTTGAATTACTTTTCTTACATAGGAAGAAATAACTCGTGTTTTTTTTTTTTTTTTTTTTTTTTTTTTTAGCTGTGGGCGAGAAATGTTTATAGTAAGAATAACCTGTTCAAATGATATATGATAAAAAAAATTAACAATATTTATAACAAAAAATTACTGATAAAAATGACCGATAACAATGATAACAATAACTGATAATAATGCCTCAGTAACTGATAACAATGACTAATAATAATAATAATAATAATAATGACTGAAAAAAATCATTTTGACAAGTTAAAATTATAAAGAATTAATGGAAAGAAAGACGTATCATTTGTTTCAATATATTTGAAGAATGGATTAGTGTCATTCTTCTTCTTCATCGTCGAGTGGACAAAGACGATACAATGATCTACTGTTTGACTGATGGTAAAAGTGACATTGTAGAAAAAAACATTATTCATGTACGCTAAATTTGACGACTTAAAGAATTATAAACCAGAATCTTAATGCAAACGTTACTTTATATATATATATATATATATATATATATATATATATATATATATATATATATATATATATATATATATATATATATATATATATATATATATATTATGTAATTTTAAGCAATGAAAAATTTAATATCAGATATTTAGATATCTGATATTTAGATATTTAGAAATGGATGTGTGGGCATATTTAGAAGTGGATGTGTTGGCATATTTAGAAATGGATGTGTGGGCATATTTAGAAGTGGATGTGTTGGCATATTTAGAAATGGATGTGTGGACATATTTAGAAGTGGATGTGTTGGCATATTTAGAAGTGGATGTGTTGGCATATTTAGAAGTGGATGTGTTGGCATATTTAGAAGTGGATGTGTTGGCATATTTAGAAATGGATGTGTGGGCATATTTAGAAGTGGATGTGTTGGCATATTTAGAAGTGGATGTGTTGGCATATTTAGAAGTGGATGTGTTGGCATATTGGTCTAACAAAAACAAAATGAACAGAATAGACGAAAGAGGAGAAAAAAACAGTGGAGAGTTGAGGCGTCTGTAGAAAAAAAACTATCTATGAAGGAAAAAGTGAAATTGTACCAAAATATACTGATACCAATTCTTTTGTCTGAGTGTAGCGAGAGAGAGACTGAAGGCAGTGAAGATGTCATGGTTAAGAGCGATGTGTAGTGCGAATAAGGTGCAAAAAAAATCGTGTAGACATTACAAGACTGTATAATTCAGAAGGTTGAGGAGGAGTTGAGGTGGTTTGGGCATTTAGAGAGGATGGAACAGAATAGAATGACCAAAAGGATTTCTAAATCCGAGGAAGGATGTAGGGAAAGGAGTGTCCCAGAAAGGTTTGGAGGAAAGGGTGTCACACCCGGGGATGCGACAGATCCCTCTTCACCTCCAGGAAGAACGCTTTGTACTACTTATTCTCCGTTTAATATGTACTAGTATAACAGGGAAACTACAGTACTGTGGAAAATGACATTATAAATGTGTATAGGAATACAATGATTTACTACACCAATAATGAAAGTAAAGAGAATATGTAATTACTGGTTAAATATCACTTACACAAGGTTACTGGGAGGGAAACAATATAATGTTGAGGAAAAGTTGTGGTCCCTGAGTTACATTGCATATGGCTGACACCATCAGTTTGGTTGATCAGGTCATCAAACAAGAGGCCTAGTCTGGGACCGGGCCGCGTGGGTGGAGACTCCCGGAATCGTCTTGAGGCAACCTTCAGGTAACCTTACCTTAGTGGAAGGCGGGTGGTATGGAAAAGAAAAAAATCATAGTCCAGCCCGTCAGTTCCGGGATCGGTCTCGAGATGAACCCATACATGTGCTTGAACAACTGTGTGTCTAGTTTTTGTTTATAATCTTGTGTTTACTCTCTAATTTACAGTTAAGCAGAACACTTGTCCAACTGGCAACCGTGTATTGTCAGCTATGAGTCAGGAATTGGCGAGGCACAGGGAGGGAGGTAGGGAGGGAGGGTTGTTGGAGGAGAGGTGAAGCACTGGGAGAAGCGGAGGTAGAGGGATGGGATGGGGAAGCCGAGGGAGGGGAAGGGGAAGTAGAGGGATTTATCTATGAATAAATTTACCTGTGATCCGCTGTTACCGCTGATCCGTCACTTGTAGAAAGAAGCTGCTGAACTTCCTCTTGAAAACCTGTCTTCGTCTCTGAGTTCTGTGGCAATATGTTGAGTAGTCTTGGACCACGGATGTTGACACAAAGTTCTCTAATTATATCTATCCCTCTGCCCCCTTTCCTCTCTGGGTATATCTCACATTTTGAGGAAGGAAGAGAGGGAGGGAGGAAGGAAGGCGAAAGAGAGGGTGAGGCAGATGGAAGAAGAGAAAACCAGATAGAGGAAATAACAGCGAGACAAAGAGGGAGGTACACGACTGAGGCAAGAGGAAAGGCTGGTAGGGCATAAAGAGGGAAGCAGGGCGAGGCAGAAGGCACTGCCGGACATCATGGGATTATCGGGTGGTGAATAATTCGAGGATCGCCGGCCCCTTGCCTGGCTACACCTTATTGAGCGCTCGTTTGTTCATTATTGAGCCATTATTTAGCTTTATGAGCTGTGAGAGGTTCTGAAGTAATCGCTATTGATCTTGAGCTAACGTAGGCCAACTTCTGGCTAGACGCTCTGTGCAGCTACATTCCTTTGTTCTCGTACACTCTCAATTTTCTCTTACACTCTCAATGTTCTCGTACACTTTCGATGTTCTCGTACACTCTCTAGATACTATTATACACTTCATTGTTATTATTGTTATTGTAACACATTTTTTGTTATGCCCAGAGATCGTTTACGGCCGTCACAAAACTAATAAAGCATTAAATTTACTGGGAACTCCTTAAAACCTAAATATGTACTCACTGAAGCGGAGGAGAGAGACATAATAATATATACCTGGAAAGCATTTGAGGGACTTGTCCCAAATCTGCACACTGCCATAACAACATACTGGAGTGAGAAATACGGGAGGAAGTGTAAAATAAACCCAGTGAAAAGCAGGGGAACCTTGGGCACAATAAGGAAACAAAGTATCAACGTCCCTGGCTCCCAGACTATTCAACATCTTACCAGAAGATAGAAACAGTGTTGGGACAAGTGTAGAAGTCTGCTAGAGGAAACTGGACGAGTATCTTCATGTGCCAGATCAACCAGGCCGTGATGGTTATGCGGGTCAGCGGGCCACTAGCAGCAACAGCCTGGCTAACCAGGAAGTAGAAAAAACTCTCGGAACTCATCAAAGATATACACTTCACTGTAATGTTCTTGCCAATCTCTTTCATGTTATTTTTGTATCTCTGTTGTTACTGTTGAACCTTGCACTCCACTCTCCAAAAAAAAAAAAAACGATATTGTAAGAATGTCTGTACGTATCATTTTTTAGTTTCACCATTTTCATGTGTTGAAATTTCAGAGAATCGGAAATTTAGCTGTCGTGATTACATAGCTTAATAGCCAGATTCTCTCTCATATATTTTACCGGCTGCAATTTTTTTTTTTTTTTTGGGGGGGGGGGGTTAAGTATCGTAGTTCTTCAGTGTGTCTACGGCCAGGGAAGCCTTAGCTTCACGTGGTCTAGCCGAGACACAAACGTGGAGCCGAGAAATGCCACACATTAAATTTTAGCTGAGAAAAATTACCGTGAATATATTAAATATTAAGATTTTGGAAGATTTCTTGTAGATGGCAAAGGTTCCTGTAGATGTGCGTGAATGTGTGCTGGGTGCTCACAGTGGGTAAAAACTCACACTTCCTCTTTTTCTCTCTCTCTCTCTCTGTCTCTGTCTCTCTCTCTCTCTCTCTCTCTCTCTCTCTCTCTCTCTCTCTCTCTCTCTCTCTCTCTCTCGCTCACATATAGAAGGGGCTCTCCATTAATGACTAATACAAAGGGCCACCGCCACTAACTTTCACCACCAGCCTTATTTACGACCTCCAAATCTTGGAAGTCCAATTTGAATTTTATGTCCCCCCTCAGCGTGCGTAGTTTTATTAGTTTCGCTGCTACGGAATCTTTATATAAGACAGACCATGTTAGTTTGCCCGCAAGCTCTAATTACCTGCCACCACTATCGCCTAAGCACACCCACTTAACCTGGACTCCAAGATGATATTAAATGGAGTGCATTAAAAAGTGTATTGATTTTTTATATTTCAGATACTTATTAAATTATTCCTTTCATTTATTAAGATAAGTAAACACACACACTTATACTTTATATATATATATATATATATATATATATATATATATATATATATATATATATATATATATATATATATATATATATATATATATATATATATATATATTAATATATATATATTATATATATATATATATATATATATATATATATATATATATCGTGCCGAATAGGTAAAACTGGTCAATTTTTTTCATTTATGTTAACGTAAAAATTAATAATTTTCAACCAAAAGAACCTTAGAAAACTTGCCTAACCTTATTATACAAGCTCAATTTAATTTAGCCTAATTCAACTAAATATATTTTAGATAAGTTAACAGTAATTTAATAATAAACAAACACAATGAAATATATTTTTTTCGTTAGGTTCAGAATGACTTTTGTGAAAATATTGCACACACAAATTTTCTCTTGCCTTATTTGGCAAGAAGAGCGCTGCTAATATATATATATATATATATATATATATATATATATATATATATATATATATATATATATATATATATATATATATATATATATATATATAT